TAACACAAACTTGAAGTATTCTCATTTCGACGTATACGAGCTAGTTCATCTTGGAGATTTGTGGGACCAAAATTGTTTATCATATCTAAAATGAAGCTGATCTTGAATATTTCGTTATTGTCGCACCAGTAGTTCTTGATGGCAGAAACTCTATAAATTTTCATAAATTTATCGAGTATTGCCTATGAAAATTATTTTTCAATTAAATTTTTGAATACCCTATTCAAGTCTAAAGGCAAATAATTTTGAATATGCGAGAGTTGCATGACAATAAAAGACTTAGGCATTCATTTTGAATTGATAGTACGCGTACACCAAAAGGTCAATGGTCAACTTACTCTTTTTGACAAATTAAGGATGAATTTGTGAATGAGTAATTAATTAATTGAGGACATGAAGATATTTTGCAGAGGGAAAATTAGTCGTTCGATGTCGCAATTACAATTATTATCCTCATCTGTTTTGATCAAAATTATAAATAAATTATGAGATTTATTTTTAAAAGATGGAAGTGACATTTTTGACCTTTCCTATTACAATAACTCTTAACAAAATTAACTTATCTTTGATCATTTTAGAGTTGAGATTTATTATTTTGCCATTTATTATTTTGCCCCCAAAATTCAATTTCATAATTGAATAATTGCAATTTCATCTTAATTATACATAATTGCATGTTTTGTATAAAAATCAAAAACAAAGTAGAAAACTTTTGAAGAAAGTGACAATATTTGAAGAGTTTTGCTACACATACAAGGGAGTTGACACGCCCCCTCACAAGGGTCCACAATTATTTTAATCACCGTGCCCCCCCCCCCTCCTCCCCCTCCCCCCCTCTCGTGCGAGGGGCGTGTACACGGAAGTGTCAACTTCCGAGTACATTTAGCATTTTTCATATTTGAATTATGAAAAACCACTCGAAATAAGATCTCAATTTAAAAGAAGATTATGATAAGTCATTAAAAAAATTCCTCATACTACGTTATTAGGGTGAACCGTGATGATTCTTGTCTCATAGGGTGTGATATTTTTATGTTTTGAAAAATCCATTATATATATATATAATATTAATCATCAATATAATAATTCATTCCACTTGATCACTGGTGTAGCAGCCGGCCCTGTTTGGTGTTTATCTGTTTTTTTTTTCCATTTTCTAGATTTTGGTCCTGTTTGGATGTTGTTGTAGCCTATGCTTGGGCATTGGAAGCACTTAATCCCTCTGAGGAGTGCATTGTGTTGGAGTTTTATCCTCTTTGTATTCGTTGGCTATTTCGATGTTCTATGAATTGTTATTTCAAAAAAAATAATAATAATAATTCATTCCACTTGGCATGCTAGCATCAAGCTACAAAATTTGTATCAATTCACCCTTTGATAATTAGGCTTACCCAAATCAGCTTCGAGGTCATCTCAACCTCGAACCGCACCCTCTTGACCTGAACCCAACCCTTTCAACAATGGCTATGTCGGGTTTCCCCTTGTAAGTTGAAGACTGTCAAATAATGAAAAAACTACAATAACCTGCATCTTAGCCTCCGTTTTTGAGTAGCATGGTCTCATCGATGGTAAGGTGGTATGGTTATATGTTACCAATTCATAATCCGTTTAACAGCCCCTGCAAATGGTAGTTCATACAACAGTAAATGGTTAGTTTTGCTCAACTCAAGTCAAATACGCTCATCTTATACTTTCCTACGCTTGGAGAATGCCTCCATTGTAAAGCCCATTTTTTTATAGGACAATTCGTTTTTCTGAGAATTCAATATATCCACATAGAGTGTATGTGCAGTCCGATATTTTTTGAAATCGAAGTGCGTGTTACACCAGACAGGAAAATAAGAAAACTTAAAATCTTGTTAATAGTGCCGTTGAGCTGCTTTAAGTGTCTAATGACCTCTGCACGGGTTTGTCTTGACAAAAATATAAGGGGGCGCATGAACTATTGACTGAACAAAGAAATCGGATAAGAATTTACAAATACCTATCCAATCTTAGCAATACAGTCATTGCTGTCTGATTTGCATCGAGATTACTTCCAGCAATCCGTCACCAACGGCAATAAATCATTGTCTCTTTTCTGTTTGCAAAAAACCATTGTAATCACTCTGTTCTCTCATACCAGTTGCACATTATCAATAGAAGCAGCCAACTTACGTAAATCAGAGAAAAGAAATGACTATCTGAGCCCAGTATCTTTAGCACACATACATGAAGTCTCAAGTCCATACTCAAAACACTCAGGATTAATAGTCACTGCAACTGAATTCACCTTTTCTGAGCACTAGAATCTTTTTTGGCATAAACACCATCATCACATTGGGGGAGACTTCAAAAATATATTTAAATTGCTAAAAAACCCTCTTCTATTATCATATCGTGCAATGGTACAGAACCCATCTTCTTCATTTTCTTATGAAGATTAAAAAGTAAGAGACTCAAGATCTTGCTTTCTGTATGAGATTTATCACCAACAACAAAAACATGAAATCTGCTCCCAACTTCAATCCAACTGCAACCTGGCTGTTTTTTCAACCCTTTCTCCTTCATCTTCAATCGCTGGAATGCTGCCTCATTCCATTTCCCACTAGAAGCATTAAGCATATATATTAGACAAAAGCATATAAGTGCCCGCATTTTCTGGCTCCATATCCAAAATTTTGTTTGTTGCTAGTTTTCCTACATCATCATCCCCATGAATGTTACATCCTGCAAGAAGAGCCCCCCAAACACTTGTTTGGGAGCTGTTCTATAAGATCATATGCCTCCTTGAGCCTCCCTACTCTACCACAAAGATCTACAAGGCATGTATAATGATCAACTCTCACTTCTATGCACTCGTCTCTCAAAAGCATATCAAAGTACTTCAACCCTTGCTCCACCAGATCGGCATGGCTGCAAGCAGAAAGCAATCCGACATAGGTAGCATCATTTGGTTTGAAACCAATATTTTGCATCTCTTTGAACGCCGTGATTGCCTCTCTTCAACATCCATGGTGAGAGTACGCTGCAATCATAGTATTCCAAGAGACCAAATCCCTCTTCCCTTTCAACCCATCCTCAAACATCTTTCTAGCCATCACCAGCTCCCCACATTTTGAATACATATTTATCAATGCAGATATCACAAATTCACTCTCTTGATAGACTGTTTTGCTAATTACTTGGTGGACTTGCTTTCCCTCATCAAGACCCGCTAAGTCACTACAAGCACCCAAAACACTCACAATAGTGCGTTCATTAGGATTCACCCAGCTATCCTTCTTCATATGAAAGAACGTTCTCAATGCCTCTTCGCTTTGGCCATCTTGGACTTATCCATTTATCATTACAGTCCAAGAAACAACATTCTTCCTTGGTCTCTCATTAAGCCCCTGTTTGACATCCAT